CTGAAACAGTATTTAATATGTACAATGTACTCTTCGTTTTGTTTCATTTGCATTAAAATACATGAAGACTTCATTTAGTAATAAAATTTATTAAAATGAAAATGAAAAAAATATTTCAGTGAAGCTCAAACTGAAAAAAAAAATTAAATTTAAATTATTAAATTGAAAATTTGAAAGTGGCAGTTTTCTTTGAAGATTGAGCAATTTAAAGAAATTTTTTACGAAGAAAAATCATAAACTTTTAAAAAAAATTAACTTTACTATACGTTTAGTATAAACTAATTGGTTACAACAAAAGGCTCGAAATTTCATGTTGCAAAAGTTTTAAAGCTTTTTCTTCTAGTTTTCAAAATAGTATACTTAATATAGTTAATATAGGGTACTAGATGTCCCATACTAAAAACCCATCTTCAAAAGTATAATTATGGGTAAAATTAAGAGAAAAGGTTATTGAAAATTAGAATGCAATAAAAAAATATTGCTTAGGTGCTTTTAAATTTTTTAAACACTGTTTATAGTTTTCTATAACTGTTGATTAAAATAAAATTGAAAATGAATTGAGCTGATGAGAGGCGAAAGATGGGTTTATAGAATAGTTCTATCGTAAACTATGGGGCAATTTTGAAAAAAAAAGGCAATTTGTAATTTTTCTGAGGAATGCTTTGAATTAGAATCTTAGAATAATTTTTAATTGTAGTCGACATCAAAATTGATTAAAAGTGTCAATATAACAGCTTTGTTTGAATGCATAGCAAATTGTTAAGTTGGTACTTTTGGCATCAGCATAGTAATAAAAAATGAATGAAAATCATTAGAAAAATATCAATTATCCCGAATAGACAAAGAGCGTGCTCATTTTTGTGAGCACGTTAATGAGTATGCTCAAAATCATCATTTAACGTGCTCACCTGAGCACACTCAGTTGAACATGCTCATTTGAGCATTCTCACTTGAGTACACTCTTAAGCATACTCGTGAGCACATTGTGAATATGCTCACAAAAAACATTTTTTTTTAAATATTTCATATTTTTTTGAGCATGATCGTGAGCATACTCCATTCTCAAATTTAAGCATGCTCACCTGAGTACACTCTTAAGCATACTCGTGAGCACATTGTGAATGAACTCTAAAAAAATATTTTTTTTAAGATTTCACATTTTATTGAGCGTGCTCAAGAGAACATATATTGAGCATACTCTGAGTATGCTCATGATTTTTTATATACTTCACAAGTCAAAGTTTCAAGAATTATATATAATTATCCCCTTTTTAACTATAACCATTCTTGAAAAAACATTTTGAGATCAATTTCGAAGTATTTAACTTTTTTATAGTTTATATATGAGTTATTGCCATAAAGAATTATATAGATAAATTGCAGCAATGGTGTAATGGTTACGGTAATGGTCTTAGCAACAGAGCGGTCGAGAGTTCAAATCCAGGTAAAATCCAAAATTTTCTAAGTGTCTTTTTCAGATTAATAATGAACAAAATTTATTTCTCAGAGTACACTCACGAGCACACTCACTGAGTGCACTCAGAATGTCACATCATATGACATAAAAATGTTGCATGTCACACAACAATTTGAGCATGCTCAAAATTTGTTTAAATAACGTGCTCAGAGCATGCTCTAAAAGCGTAGTGGCATCACTTTTCGTATGAAAGAGCACGCTCACGCGAGCATGCTCAGCAGTAAATTTGAGCGCGCTCATAGCATGCTATTTGTCTATTCGGATATGTCACAACTATCTTTGATGACGACTTCAGTAGATAAAAAAACATGTTATCTATTAGCCCTTGAATCAAATTGTTAAACTCTTGACAAAAAAAAAAATCTTCTCAAGTTGTCTTTAAACAACATTTTTCATTAGAAATTATCAAAATAACTAATTTTTTAATTATTCCACAGGCGATTCGACTTAAATCCTTACTTTTAATGACGTAGGTGATGTATTTTTCCATTTGTTAACTTCTACTTTGATTTTAAGAAGCTTAAACTTATGCATAGAAGTCAATATTGATGTGCAATACAAGAAAAAAAATAACCTGAGATCGTAATTTAAAACATCAAAAAATTTTAATTTCCGCGTTTTTTTCAATTTCGCCCCATAGTAGATAGTTAAGCAGATAATGAATAAATATTTCAGACTATAAAATTCTTCTTTTTGAAAAAGCTACATAAAAGAAATTTTAACCAAGAGAAATAAGAAAAACATAAAAGTTATTGTTTCTGTGAAATGATGTGATGAATAAAGAAATAAATAAATTTGAGATCATATATTACAAAAAATTACAGAAGTCCTCGTGTTATTGATCGAGGGACTTAAGCGCATTTTTGTGTTAGCGCTCAGTATTTGATTATGTAATTGTTTTGCGTTCATTTACAGATCATTAGAAGATTAAAAGATCATTAATTTTAGTGTAATTAACAAATAATTACAATGAATGCTTATACAGAAAGGATTTATTATTTAACGGTCAAAAAATGATTTGAAATTTTGTCGCTATAAGTTGCACTACAAAAAAGTTAATTATAGTATAATTAAATAATTTGTTCCAATGAATTTCCATACAAAAAAAGTTTATCATTTAATGGTTTTTTGAAATTCAAATTTTACAACGGTTAGAAAAAATTTGGAATTATAGAGGTAATGTTGAAATTATAGAGGTAAAATAAAATTTGAGCAGGATACACTGGAAACAAAACAAAAATTCATTAATTATAGCATTAATACACTGTTTTGAGACTTTTAACTGTTCGATGGGCCGATAAATCGATAGTAACAGAGCTATTAAAACAAACCAGAGCTCTCTACGATGTCTAGATAAAAAGTTTTTCATCACGTCCTGCCACACGAGCGAACAAAGTGATTTATTAAGCTCCCTTTTCAAAAACAAGTTTTCAAAAATGCGCTAAAAACTAGTATTAAATTTATTCGTTTTAATAAATTTTCAAAGTATATTGTGTTCAATATTTTAATAACTTTTAAGCAACATTTCAACTGTTTTACATCTGAATTGTAAAAAACAGTGCAAATAGAGATTTGAGTTAAACAGAGTTAAACAGGGATCAAAATGAATGAAAAAAATCTATGATGAAAAACATCGTTATTTTTGATTTTTTTTCATTTACGTAAATTATTACGTAAAATTTCATCACGTATAAATCATTGTTAAGTAGAATTTCATCATGTAAAGCAAAAAATGCAATAAAATCACACCAAATGAATTAATAATGCTAAATAATAAGAACAAGGGTAGAATAGATTAGTTTTGCTTAAAAAACTTCTATAGAAACATTTTATACGTCATTTTTTGCTTTGCGTGATGAAATCTTACGTAAAAATGATTCTTACGTGCTGAAATTTTACGTAAAAATTTACGTAAATGCTAAAAATCATAATTTTTTTCATCATCAAAAATAATGATGTTTTTCATCGCAGATTTTTTTCATTCATTTTGATCCCTGGAGTTAAACCTTTTTTTTTAAAGTAAAACATAATATTTTATAGTCTTAAATTAGTTCAGTTATTAAGTTTGGGTCAAGGATTTCGAACAAAGGAGCAGGAGGTTCGAAACGTGGTTTTTTTGGCATAATGTTAAAAGAGAACGGTATCATCATCGAGTGTTTCAAAATTCGAGATATTAGAAATGCTTTTTCATAATATTGTCAACAATTTTAATTCCACTCTTTTCTACAGAACCAATGAATAGACTAAGCTTAAAAAGAATATTGAATACATTGTAAGCTGAAGTTGAAAAATTGTAGTTTAATGCTAACATTTTAAAATATTCTGTCGAAATTTAATACTCAATTAATAACTTTTATTCTTTATTACCCTTTATTACTTTTCACCGATTTTTTTAAATAAAAGATTTAAAAGAAAAATGTATACATAAATGGGAAAAGATTTTATCTCATTGTTAATAACTTAAGTTATATTTGATCTGCCGAATATTTTTTAAATATTGTCTGCTGTTCTATGTATAGATAACACATTCATATTATTAAGAATGTACATATGAAATGTTAAGAAATACAATACCACAAAGCAAGACAATTATAAATTTCTATAACTGAAATATTCTGAGGAAAAAAAATGCAAATTTTAAAGTTATGTAAGGATTTAAAAACTTTTGGTATTTTAGTTAAAACAGTTCCAATATTGATATTAAAAAAGTATATTTAAAATTAAAATCTTTAAAGTTAATATTATTATTATTATTATTATTATTTATTTGTAAACGTTACCTTCAAAAAATATCGAGATATTCTTTCTCTTGATTAATTGCGAGTGAACAAGGAAAAAACGCATCAAAATTTTTGTTATGCAATGACGGTTTGTAAAATTTATTTTGCGGTATCTTTTTAAAAGATCTAGATAGCGTAAAAACAATTTTTCAATGGGTCATTTAAAAATTTACTCAGTATGATGTCTCCGTTTGTGTTTTATTAACAAAACTGAAGAAAAAAAATATTAAGAAAAGTTTCTTTGCATAAATTTTAGTTTGGTCATAAAGATAGAAAGGCATCCGACACAACTGAGCTGAATGAAAATAATTATTAAAACATAAAATTTATGAATCTATCTGAATTTGAAAATTTTTATGACATTGCATTCGTAAAGCGAAAATTAATTAAAATATATAACTTACCCGCTGAAGATAACAGACTTAAAATAAATGTTTTTATTGTTTATTTTTCATTTATTATCTGTATCGTAAATTACAAATTCTAAGTACTTGAGTATTTGGTAGTTTTTTGATTGGATTTGCGGTAACACAAGTCTTTATGTTTTCGTAATAAATGAACAATCATAGTCATTTAGCTAATTCTTCATTGAAACATTAAAAAAAATTTTAAATTTAGATAAATGATAACTACAAAATTATTGTTCAAAGTCCTAAAATAGCTGTAAATCACCAATAGTTTTGCACATTTAAAAATAGTTATTTTATAATAATCTATCAAAAATTATTTTTCTTTTAATACAGAATGATGACAATGATTTAAAATTTAATAAAATGACGAACCAAAGAATGAAGGTAAGATAATGAATGATATTATATATAATCATTGGTGCTCGAACTATGCTCCGTGGAACTCAGTGGAAAAATTGACCATTATTTTTAGTTTCATGATTTTAATAAGGTCGTAAAAATTACAGTTTGCTGAGATTATTCAAATCTGCCTTAAAAATTTTATGCAAAAATGTGCCGTGGACTAAAGAAGTTTGAGAAGTACTGCCGTAGTAATTCACGAGTCCTTACTTTCAGTTGAATATCATTTAATAATATCTTTCATATAACTTTAAATAAGAAAATATTGAATAAAAAATTATATGTTATGATAAACATTGCGAATATCGTTTTCCTGATGATTCTGTAAGTACGGGTGTCAAGTAAAAATCTCCCAGAAGTATAAAACCACCATTTATCACTATTTTAGGGTTACCCTGTTTTTTCGTTCCTACGCTAATATTTATTCTTAAGCTACTATCTACTAGTGATCAAAATAATTCACTTTTTTATTCTCCTACGCTACTAGTTTAAAATGCGAATTTCTTTGGATGAGTTTTTAGATTTTTATATTCAAACCGTTTTCACGTGTGAATCTATTGGTTTCGTTCAGATTGAGAAATCAGTTTTTAGAATTTTGTGAGGATATGGAGCAAGATAGCTTAAAATGTTCAGAGATGAAAAGTTTGTGCCTTGAATTTCACATCTTTTGCAAAAAACAGATTTTAAATTGTTTGCGGCATTGCTGAGAAAATCGCAAAATATGCTTTCTGTAAGCAAGCAAACAAGCAAGTTAATCAGCAAGAAATCTCAATAACGAGACATCGTAGAGACTTCTAGTTTTTTACATTTGATCCGTGCTGCTCTATAGAAGAGCTGTGTTGTTTTTGGGCAAGGTAGGAACAGCCGTTGCTTCAGAAAAAGCAAAAAACTTTCCTTTCTTACGAATTTTTCAAATTAAAAGTTCACTGTGATTTTTTTTTAAATTAAACTTTGGATGAAAAAATTTTTTTTGAGCAAAGAACCAAGAAGGAAATACATTTTCAATTTTGGACTAGGGGCTAGGGTTTTGTGGAAAACAGCTGTTTTTGAAAAACAGTCTGTTTTCGGTTTTTGATTTTTAAAAACAGCTGTTTTCCTGTTTTTCTAGAATTCAAAATAAACTGAGTTATCCTTAGTGTTTCTCTAAGATAATGAAACTTTTTGGTGGTTATAAGCAGTTAAGCATACATTTTAGAGCTAAGCATTATTATTTCTTATTTTTTTATGTTAATTAACTCTAACAAATATAATGAAATATAAAAATGCAAAAAAAAAAATCCAAAAAAATTTATACCTTTAAGTAACATTGCATTGTTGCATTGTAAAAGTTCCATAAGCTCTAATATTTTATTTGAAATATTCAAAAAATCTTTCTGAATAAAAAAATATCTTGTAAATTGTTGATTATATTTTTAAACTTTAGTAAATGCTACAAAAGGTTCAACAAATTTAAAATTTCGATTGCAAAATTAATAATGATTAACCATAAATTTGATAATGATTTCAAACCTATTAAACATCCAAAAAATATTAAAATAGTAAATACATTTCAATTTGAAATGCTAGAAAAATATATTAAGTTGTTCAAAAAATTAAGAAATTTTTTTTTCTGTAAATTTTATGTAAAAATGAAAACAGAAAACAGATCTGTTTTTGAGACTTGTTTTTTGTTAACAGATTTTTTCGAAAAACAGCTGTTTTTCTGTTTTCTGTTAACAGATTCCCCAAACCCTACTAGGGGCGACCCTAGTCAAAATCAATTTTGTAACTTTTTTCTTCGAGGGTTTATACAAATGGATTGAAACTTTGCATAAATATTCTAATGCTTAAAAAAAATACAAATAAAACATCCTAAAATTTTTTTGAGCAAAGTACCAAGAAGGAAATACATTTTCAATTTTGGACTAGGGGCGACTCTAGTCAAAATCTAGTTTTTCACTTTTTTCTTCGAAGGTTTTATCCAATTACAGTGAAACTTTGTGTGAGTATACTAATATTTATACAAAACAGTTTTAAATATCTAAAGCAAGAAATATATTCTGTATGTCGTCAGACCCAAATTTTTTAAATTTGGTTGCACATTCAAAAACAACGTGACTTAAAATTTTGTCCAAAAAAATGATTTTTATTAATTCAGAAATGAGTGACCTGATAATTAGAATGCTCATTCAAAGTTTTTCTGTATTTGGATTTATCCTCGAAGAAAAAAGTGAAAAACTAGATTTTGACTGGACCTGTCCCAAGTTCATAATTGAAAATGTATTTCCTACTTGGTTCTTTGCTCGAAAAAAATTTTAGGATGTTTTAATTTGTATTTGTTTTAAGCACTAAAATATTTATGCAAAGTTTTAATCCATTTGGATAAAGCCTCGAAGAAAAAAGTGACAAAATTGATTATGACTAGGGTCGCCCCTAGTCCAAAATTGAAAATGTATTTCCTACTTGGTTCTTTGCTCAAAAAATTTTTAAGATGTTTTATTTGTATTTTTTTAAGCACTAGAATATTTTTGCAAAGTTTTAATCCATTTGGATAAACCCTCGAAGAAAAAAGTGACAAAATTGATTTTGACTAGAGTCGCCCCTAGTCCAAAAATGAAATTGTATTTCCTACTTGGTTCTTTGCTCAAAATAATTTTAGGATGTTTTATTTGTATTTGTTTTAAGCACTAGAACATTTATGCAAAGTTTCAATCCATTTGGATAAACCCTCGAAGAAAAAAGTGACAAAATTGATTTTGACTAGGGTCGCCCCTAGTCCAAAATTGAAAATGTATTTCCTACTTGGTTCTTTGCTCAGAAAAATTTTAGGATGTTTTAATTTGTATTTGTTTTAAGCACTAAAATATTTATGCAAAGTTTCAATCCATTTGGATAAACCTTCGAAGAAAAAAGTGACAAAATTGATTTTGACTAGGATCGTCCCTAGTCCAAAATTGAAAATGTATTTTCTTCTTGGTTCTTTGCTCAAAAAAATTTTAGGATGTTTTATTTGTATTTGTTTTAAGCACTTAAATATTTATGCAAAGTTTCAATCCATTTGGATAAACCCTCAAAGAAAAAAGTGACAAAATTGATTATGAGTAGGGTCGCCCCTAGTCCAAAATTGAAAATGTATTTCCTACTTGCTTCTTTGCTCAAAATAATTTTAGGATGTTTTATTTGTATTTGTTTTCAGCAAATACATCTTGACTAGGGTCGCCCCTAGTCCAAAATTGAAATTGTATTTCCTACTTGGTTCTTTGCTCAAAAAAATTTTAAGGATTTTTTATTTGTATTTGTTTTAAGCACTAGAACATTTATGCAAAGTTTCAATCGATTTGGATAAACCCTCGAAGAAAAAAGTGACAAAATTGATTTTGACTAGGGTCGCCCCTAGTCCAAAATTGAAAATGTATTTCCTACTTGGTTCTTTGCTCAAAATAATTTTAGGATGTTTTATTTGTATTTGTTTTAAGCACTAGAACATTTATGCAAAGTTTCAATCGATTTGGATAAACCCTCGAAGAAAAAAGTGACAAAATTGATTTTGACTAGGGTCGCCCCTAGTCCAAAATTGAAAATGTATTTCCTACTTGGTTCTTTGGTCAAAAAAATTTTTTGGATGTTTTATTTGAGTTGACATAATTCTGGCATAAATCACATACCAATATTACTTTTTGTAATGCATAGCTTAAAAAAAATCGAAATCTAAAATTTCGACTACCCCATCTGAATTTTTTTCATACTCTTCACTGTGGAAACCAAAAACAAATTCTTTATCTTAAAACACTTGACAAAATAGCGACATAATTCATGATTAATTACTTTTTAATAATATTTTAACATTTACGAGAAAATGTGGTTCAAATAAGTGTGAAGTATGGCCGAAATTTGGACCAAAATCAGCTATCCTGGTTCATAGTGTTCCCGAGGGTGACAAAATTCAAACTAAGTGTTTTTGTAGCTGACATAATTATGACATAAATTAGGTATAACTTTTGAACTGTGTCGATATGGGTCTCGGCCGTTCTTCACGCCCACCCTTCAAACTTATGCTGAGCAAATCTTGGTCTATCCATAAGACTTCTGATGGTACGGTGTGAATATATCCGCATTGGGTTTCTACCCGATACACTAGTTTCATCAAAGAATCGATTTTTTACTAAAATTTTCTACTGTCGTTTTATTTTTGATTTTTCAATGATCTCTATGTTTTTGTTCGTGTTTTTCGACTGATTTATTAATTTTCTCAGATTACTGAGATCATTATTTTACATCTCCCTTCTCTTATCAATTCCCATATCTTTGTACTGGTTTTGAAATTCTCGATGATCGTTGGAACGTTTGTTGGTTCGAATTACTTTCTGTTAAGATTGCAGTTGTTTGGTGAGAATCGGGAGGTGCGGTATTTGCATTAAAATTCATTTAAAGATTGATTTTATATTGACTAGACTCATCGCATTTCTTTTGAGCAATTTGATTGGATACTGTTGACCCTTTGTGAGCTGAAGTGTTTTTCACTTGTAATTTTTCGAATCATATGTACTGGAAATTAGAACCACAGCCTTTGTTTGACTACAGGCAGAAATGTCAGCACTTGTTAAACTCTCATTAGCTATGAAACGCCCTAGTGCACCTCTGGATCACAATTGATCTGAATAGGTAAAGGTTTTTTTTTTCCTGTTGACCTATCAGGTCTGATAAATTTAGAGTTTCGTCTAATAACCCTATCACTATCCACTATGGGGCAAAATTGAAAAAAAGCGGCAATTAAGGAAATTTTTGAACAGTTTTGAACTACGCTTTCAGGGTTATTTTTTCTTGTAGAGGACATCAAAATTGACTTCTATGCCAAATTTCAGGTCATTTGATGCTGTTTTTACAATTCTATGGCTGTTTGAAGTTGAAAATGAGTGAAAATTTTGATTTTTTCACGTCTTATTTAAACTGTCACATCTTTTTAATAGTTAAAGATATTAAGAAACGCTTTTCGGTTTCTAATAGTGTCATGCAAGAGCTTTGTTTTCATTATGTAAAAAATTTGTAATTTTGTAGTTTTGGTACCAGTATGGGAAGAAATGTGTGAAAATTCTATGAAAAATATATTCAAGCATGCCGTAAAGATCTTAAATGGCCACTTTTCAGTCATATAAGCACATTGTGTTTTAGCCTCTGCCTTTTAGTTTTCAAAAATGTATAAACATCAAAATTTCTTTGGTACTTTTTTGAGATAAATTGATTTAAATAAGTAGCAGAATAATTCAACAAAAAATAAAATATCTTATAAAAGTTACGAAACAACAACTAAAAATGAGTTTTGTGTTATTTTTCGATGAAAAACAATATTTAAAAACAAATTGCGAAGAAATTTTTTCAAAAATTTCAAAATCTGCCAAGATATAGGGTACTTTTCATATCTGACGACTTGTATGGTTTTCGCATTACTCAAACTGCTTATATTTTTGTGTACCTCAATATTTCTTAATTCTGTTTACAGTTTATTGTAGCTTAAGTCTAGACCTTTCTAAGGATATATAATACTTTGTAGTTTAGTATTATCTTGGTCATGAATTTAGGACTTGTTTGTGAACGACCCTAAACAACAAAAAATCTCAAAAACGTCATTTCTAGAAATATCACATAAAAACAAAATTAGGTGTTGTTTTTAGGTTTTTCATGATTATACATGATATTTATGACTATTAAAACTTAAAAAAGTGTATTTCATAAATTGGCATAGAAGTCAATTTTGATGTCCTCTACAAGAAAAAATAACCCTGAAAGCGTAGTTCAAAACTGTTCAAAAATTTCCTTAATTTCCGCTTTTTTTCAATTTTGCCCCATAGTGCTATCCTTACAAATTTCATACGATCTAGGCTCTGAAAATTTTTTTACGATTGATCCTGTGGTCGGCAAAGAGCTTATAAAATCAGTTGAAACTTTTGAAATTTGAATTTGAATTTTTAAACATTTCGGGCGGTAAAATTTAAATTCAGGAAAAACGTTATTTGATCATAATTTGTTTTGTTGTTTTTAAGTCATTTTGCTATTAAATAATATAGAACTTAGTTTATTGAACTTAGTTTTAGCCTTTTTGGGTCAGTAAACATTTTGATATTCAAAAAATTAGCATTAAGTAGCTTAATTCACTAGACTTTGGGATTTCTCAAAATAATTTTTTCCTTCGTCATGTTTGTTTACATTTTGACGAAAAATATTTGAAAAAGAAAACGCGAAATTTTATCAAAACCAGATGAAATATTGAATCCATAAATAGTTTAAAACAAAGAATGTGTATCTATTTTATGTTTAAAATAGTAATCTGTAAGAAAACACAAGGATTTTGGCTGAAAATTAACAAAATTTTCTGATTGACTAAAATTCATAACGGATTAAGTTCTAAAAATAAGGACTACTAAAAAAGTACTAAATCTAATTGTTCTAAAAATAAGATCCGTTTGCCTACCACAGGATTGATCCTTTGGACCATGTTTTATTAGGCAATTGTACCCATACATTTTGATTAACAACGTTCATACGCATTGTAATATATTTTCGTTTTATTCTGCTTCTTTTTGAATTTTTACCTAAATTGTGATTTGACTTAGGCTTTAACCAGGTATTTTTCATAATAATTTTAGTCCTCATTTTTTTCTATTGTTAAGCAATTGACTAGGAGAAAAGTCAATGTCAGCTATCGGAATATAATTATAATTATAATTGCCTCTTCATATTTTTAACTATTCCTACTATTTTTTTTTACATGTAAAACTTTTACATTCAAATGAATTAACTTTTGTTTTCCTAATTCATGAAAAAAGTACAAAATAAAAATTCTCAAAAATGCAATCAATTCTGTCATTTAGTTTAAATTATTGTTGATTAGAGAGCAATTAATAAAAATAGGTTGTTTAAAACTAATATAAGCATTCAAAACATAAGTACTGAAGAAATTTTGGAGAAAACATGTTTGCATCTTAAGTTAAATTGGCTCCGGATTATAAAAATTCATTTTTCAGAAATTATACTTATTGAAAAAATTAATTAATGAAAAAACAGAGTACGTACAATTTTGGGAAATTTCATGTTTTTGAACACGTTTTTTAAGCGGAATTTTAAAATGCCTTGCAATTTGGACATCTGTCAAAAATTTAATTGATAAAAATGTTGATTGGTATGATTGATATGAGCAATTACACCAATAAATACAATTCATTGTAGGAATTTATTAAACATTTGTTTGCAATGACTATCACCAATGACGTAATAATTTGATTCAAGTTGGCTTTATTTTTAAAAAAATAATTATTGAACCCACTTTGTTGATTTTCATGTTTCTATTTTATAGCATTATATTAAACCAAAATTAATTTAGTTTGAAGGAACTTCCTCACTAATCTTTTATTGTATACTAGGTTTATGTTCTCACATTATTGATATATCTCCCTTCGTCTTTCAAATATTTTTGTTGAATATGTTTCAGAACTTTTATTGTTTTGCACACCTTTCAATTGTCATTCTTTTGAGAACAAATATGTATCTATAAAAACACTTTAAAAGACACGAAGTGTGCATATGAAGTATCATAGTAATACAACTTAAACAAAAAAAAGTATGAAGAAGACAAAAGTCATAAAAACATATGTTTTTTTTCTCTTTGTAATAAATTCTGGAAACTGATATTCAGTTACGCAATGGGTCGTCATGTTACAATAGGGAGAACGGAACAATCAAAAGTGGCTTTTTGAGGGTTTGTTAAAGGCACGATTATGGTCATGGTAGATGATCATGGAATGAATTATGTTATTTTTGCCAATTCCTATACACTTAAAATTATATTCTAGTTATAAGATATTTTAAATTGAATAGATTGGTTTGCAAAATTCTAATAAAATGAGGGTTATGAATTATTTTAGAAGAAATGTGTTCCAAAACAACTTAGTATTTGTACACATCCATCACTGCATAAAATTTTTAAAGACTGTCAGAAAATTACATTTTCAAATATTAACTCATGATTTTCATTAGATAGCGATGAATAAGGAAATGTAAGGGTATTCACAATTGAATTCAAAAACTATAAATTTATAATTTAATTAAATGGTTTTTATATTCACCACATATTTCCTTATGATGTATGGATTTTGGGCACTGTAGGAACAACAGTTTCTTAAAAATGCAACAAAATAAATCAAAAGCAGCTTTGCATATTAGTTTCTTCAACATATATTTGCAGACAGAAATGAGATCATGTGCAGCATGTGGAGAACCTATAGCCGATAGATACTTCCTAGAAGTTGGTGGAAGTGCTTGGCATGGATCATGCTTGAGATGCTGCATTTGTCTATCACCTTTAGATCGTCAACAATCGTGTTTTTTTCGAGAAAGGCAGGTTTACTGCAAGACTGATTATACAAAGTAAGTAAAAGATTATTTCTTCAAATGCAATGTATTGAAATTCATATTTTGCAAATTTTCAAACGTAATTTTATTTTAACCCTGACGTTTCTCATCAACTTCTCAATTGATTTTCATATTTACATGAATTTTAAGAGGCAAAATTCTTAAAATAAGACTGCAAAAAATACCAAATGAGCTTACATTAAAATAAAAAAAAAATATAAAAAATGAAAATTTAATTGTTTGCATGTACTTTAAAGAAGAAGAAAGAAACTCCTTCATTAAAATCACAAAAGTATATAGAAGAGAAACGAATAATGTTTGCGTTAACTAAATAAATAAGTAAAAAAAAATATTCAGTAGCTGCAAAAGGAGAAATGTATGGGCAATTGATGATTTATAGACACTATTATATATTTAAGTACACTTTTGTAATTTACGATTATGTATATGAATCGTTACACATAAAGAATAAAGAAAAATTGTTCATATTTTTATTCTTAAAACAGATGAACACAAAATCCATGTAGATATAAAATAAAAAAAGTATTAACAAGTCCTTATAGTACCCGTTTGGGCTCACAAATAAAGCGCTTTTTCTTTAACCAAACTATACCAATAGACAATAGACAATGCATTATGGGGCAAAATTGAAAAAAAAGGGTTAATTAACTTCGAAAATGGGACTCTTTCAAATTAGGTTCTTGGGGTATTTTTTTCTTGTAGAAGACATTAAAATAGACGTGTATGCCAAATTTGTGACCATTTTGTGCTGTTTTTTAGATTCTAGAGCTATTTGAAGTTGAAAATGAGCAAAAAAACTGGTTTTTTCATGACATATTTAAACTTAAACATCTCTTCAATGTTTAAAGTTATTGAAAAATTGTTTTTGGTTCCTATAAGAACAATATAAGAGCTTTATTTTAATGTGTTATAAAATTTTTAACTTTCCAGTTTTGGTGCTGGTATGGTTGGAAATGTATGAAAATCCTATGAAAAATATCTTCAAACGTGCCGCAACTATCTTAGCAGGTCATTTTTCTAGAAAATTTTCCATAGTAGAAAAGTTTTGTAATGTTTTCAATAATATCTAAAGACAACCTGCAAAGAATTTTTTTCAAAAACTCAAAATTTGACGAGATATGGGGTACATTTGATATCTGATGACTTGAATGTTTTTTGCACCACTCAAATGGCTCTAACTTTTGTTTAGCTTAATATTTTTCAGTTTTGTTTCCTGTTTATTGTAGCTTAAGTCAATATCTTTCTAACAATATATAATACTTTATAGTTAAATTTGATCTTAGTCATGAAAATGAGCCTTCATTGTGAACGAACCTAAACTTGCCTAAACTAAGAAAAATCTTGAAAACGACATTTCTAGAAATACCACTTAGAAAGAAAATTGGGTATTGTTTTGAGGTTTTTTATGATGATTTATGATAATTATGACTGTTAAAACTCAAAAGCATGGAATTCATAAGCTTTTTGCGATCTCAGGTAGCCTGATTTGATACCACCCTAGTAGTATCTATTGGAACAGAAAGTCTCTAGTATCAGACTATTTTAAAGACTCAAATGATTGAAATCATAATATTTATAGCAAAATATTTCATTTTTAGATACTTTTGGTTGATAAATTGTGACTTTTGGCTATTATTTCTAAGTTCAGCTTGTGTCGGTCACATTCAATTAGGGTTCGCCGACATGACATGCACATGCATGTGCATGTTAAAATATGCGCATACATGCGCATGCATGCGCATGTACATGCGCATGTAGTTAATAACAGAGATTTAACAGCATTTTATATTTCTTTTATTATTATTAATAATAAAAAAAGATTTATAACACATTAATTGTAAATGACAAAAACTGTTATATAAGCTATATTCTAATGTTACACTGGGCGTAATAATTTGAATGTTTCAATTATTTTAGCAAAAATAATGACTATTCATATTAACAAAAATAATAATCAAACGTTAAACGTTAACCTAATCATCAATTAGTTCCTCTCATTCCACTGCACTTAGAAAAGCTCTATCCTCTGCAATGTAATCGTTTTTATCAAACGTATCTAAGAGTACACTATTTGTGTATATAAAAAACAAGCTTTTTTAATCGTTCATTTGTTATAATGTCATTATAAGAGGAGAAATAAGTTTATGTGAAATCAATACTTTATGATAAACTTAAATTAATGCGCCCACGTTTTTAAGTTGTTGAGTTATACGATAAGATCAAAATGCACTTATTCGAAACTTTGTGAACAATATTGACTAGGATATAAAAATTTATTAAATATAATCTGAAAATTTAAAACCAAATTCTTTACAACCAAGAATAAAAGTTATTTTCTACTTTTTAGTCTACGCGAAAAACGTAGTTTTTTTAAAAAGTTTTTTTTATAAAGTATTTTTGTCATTTTTAGAAAGATGGGAATTAATACTATTCAAATCCTTAAATTCAATATGTACACGATTAATTTATATAGTTTACGGCATTCACGAACTTTTTTAGTGTGATTTTAACCAATTTTTCAGAGACCGAAAACGATTTCACTCAAAACGATTTCTCTCATGTGAGGGAAAAAAATATGAGAAGTTCTCATTGAAATAAAAAAATCTGTTTTTTTCATTTCAATGAGAACTTGAGATTGAAGAGTGTAATAATAAAGCTTCAAGCTTTCAAAGAAAAATCCAGGTCCCAAAAATACATTTTGGAAGTAATGTATCTGCTTGGTTCCGGAGATCTTTACTCTCCAAAAATACATGAAATGTTCAGAAATGAGACTTTTTTTTCGGCAGTTCCAGTCAGTTGGAAGTGACTTGTTTTCATGGATAGTGTTTCATTTACTCGTGTATGAGCATTGTGAGGAGAAGAGCAAAAATTAGCGAGAAATTATCTATTTCTTCGATGCAAGGAAAATCCAAATGATTTCTTTCTGATGTAATTTCTGAATTAATTGGTTAATAATAATCAAGCTAGTTTGAGAAAAATCATTTTTCTTGTAAAGTGAATATCGCGAAAAAATAATTTTAGTATATGGATTATTCTAGATTATCCTAAGATAATCCTGAAGATTATCTGAATTTTCAATCTTGGTGGGACTCAGTTTTACCATTTTAGAATAATTATGTGGATAATCTCAGGATAATCTTCGGATAATCCACCTACTTGGATAATCTTTTTTTTTGTGAAATCCATCGTTAAAAAATTATTTTCTTTGAATTCATTTTTTCTGATTCACCGTACAGTTTGACGAAGTAAAAAAATTACCAAATTTTGAATTAAAAAATTACAGAAGTCCTCATGTTACTAATCGAGGGACTTAAGCGCATTTTGTGTTAGCGATCAGTATATGATTATCTAATTATTTTGCGTTCATTTACAGATCATTATATAGAAAGGCTTTATTATTTAACGGTAAATAAATAATTTGAAATTTTCTCCCTAAAAATTGCACTACGAAAACATTGGTTATAGTATAATTAAATAATTTGTTACAATGAATTTCCATACATAAAAAGTTTATCATTTAACGGTTTTCTGAAGGTCAAATTTTGAAACGGTCGTATGCATTTGAAGGTACCCTGCCGAAATAAATTCGAATTTCTAAACGCTCTCATCACGTGTTTTTTCATATGAAATATAAAAATCATTAATTATAGTGTATAGTGTAAATGCGTTTCCCGAAAATAAAACAATGGACTTGAGCTACTAATACAAACTAGAACTCTCAACGATGTCTAGTTAAAAAGTTTTTCTCCGCATCCATGTCTATAAAGACATGTAACTAAAGTCTTTAAGGGCAAATCCATGAATAAACGGTACTGGGAAAATCGACTAAGAATTCTTCTCAACTTGATTAATTCAAAAAAACCGTTAAAACCAAAAAATAATTAAGTTTAATTTACTTCCTGAATTATTTTACCTATCAAAAACAGTGCCAATTTACATATTTTAGATTTAAGATGGCTAATGATCTAATCTAAGGCTTAAAAATTAAATTTATTTTGTTTGGAGACAAATTTTAACGATTTTTTCTCTTTCAAACCGTTTTGGATTCATTTGTGTTTTGCAATAATGAGTCGAAAAATTAACAAACTGACGCTAATTTTGTAAATATCTCTTTAATTAAGCGTTTTATTGAGATAGAAAGAACACATAATTAAAGCTAAGACGAGCGAAAATCTAATGTATATCTTTTCTCGACGCTAAAATGCATATTTAACTAGAAAATGGAAAAAGTGTAAAATTCATTCAATTGAAATAACTCATTAATTAAAGCACGTAGAAAGCTGAATTATTGAAAAAAATGTTAAAATTAAGTTTTTCTATCATATTGAGTTTCAAAGCACAAAGTAAATCAAGCCGTTTTTGAGAAATTTGCAAAAGATGTGGTTTTTTGTAGAAAAATTCTTTCGTGGATTTGCCCTTAACCATCTTTAGGTACATATTATTGGTTAAAAATTTTACAACCTTTTGAATTAATACTTGGGGGTCACTATTTGGGTAATTGATTATTTGTACAAATAGCAAAAACCTAAATAATTGGCATCCCTACTTGCGATGTACCTAGTCACACATGTACGTGTGCGCAATATGTCGTAATAAAGTCATCCAGATGCTATTATATCTTGGTATAAAATAACTTTGAAATGTGTCACTATTAAGGATTTAGAGATATTTAACGAAACCATAGTGCCCATCTCACATTTTTTTCGTCGGGACCCAATTATATCGGCCTTAATTGTTTTCGTTAAATCTTAACTTAAAAATTGCTCCAAATTAAATTTAAAAAGATTCCGTAGATATTTTATTTCAGAAAATATTTAAGCAAAATGTCTGTGACATAAAATAAAAGTTTAATGCATATTAGTCTTTCGTCGCTGGTGGTATTTCTTTTGCAGTGACTTCATTGCACATTTTGAATCGATTTTAATTTTATGTAAATTTAAAATGCTTTAGTTTTTTTGGTTTCAATACAAAAAAAAATGTTGAAAAATATTTTTTTTTTTCATTTATAAAAACAACAAAAAATTTCTTCAATTTATGATAGCACAACTCAATTTCATTGATAACGAATGCGATGAACTAAGGCATGTGATAAACAATGCTTTATCAGCATGATATAAAGCAATAAAGATTTCATTTGCAAAAACCCGTAAAAACTGTATATGCGCAAACAAAATCTCATAAAATATTTGAAACGAGGTATAGGAATGGAACGGAAGAGCAAAAAGGAGTTGGTGATAAATCTACGGATTAAAAAATCAGAAGAAGCAAAAAGTAAATTTAATTGTTTTCTCATTCATTTCTTATGTTGTTTCTCACCGTAGCTTCTTGTTTCATGATCATCAGGACATGGATATGCATATCTACTAATGTTGAAGCAGTTATAAGCAACAATTCATTTTATTCAGAACGAATTTTATGTTATTTATTTTTGTGTTGTTTGGGAGTGAAAAGTCATGTTAAATTTTACAAACATCATTCGCGCGCTGTATGCACACATTAAATGCAAATTATTGGGACGTGATATTTATTTATTCAAGTATAAATATGATTATTTCGATATATGCATGAAAAAATTGTCAATTGCACTGTACATTAAAAAAAAAATACCGATTTTTCTTCGAGGATCGTTCTCAAAACATAATATTCTAACGAAATAAGCCCCTTTTAAATTTTATAGACAAAATAGAGTAATGTGGGATCGAAGTATGTGTAAACTAATTTTTAATTTTTAAATAAAACAAGGTGCGAATATGTTAAATATAACATATTTATTTTCTCACATGATATCAAAAAAAAATTTAACATGATGGTATCAGAATTCAAGACAAAAAATGTGTTGAGAAAGAAAAAAGTTGATTTGATGATATTTCTAAATTTCTTTTTATTCATTTTCTATAATTCTTTACTTATGCTAATTTATTTATATGATATTTTAAAATTCTCTTTTATAAGTTGAGGTATATCACCTGATGTTTTTATTCATTTATGAACAATTCATATAAGTTTCTTCATCGATTTCATGGTTTATTTTTTTAGTTTAGTCATAATCATGTTTTGCCTTTGAATATTATGATATGACGAAATAAGAAGAAGAAAAAGTTCAAATGACAATACAAAAGATTATTTAGTAAAGATTAAAATTATGTTCTGATCATTTTCCAGGAATTTCGGTGCAAAATGCTCAAAATGTTGTCGAGGTATTGCGGCCTCAGACTGGGTTCGAAGAGCTCGTGAATTAGTCTTTCATCTCGCTTGCTTTGCGTGCGATCAATGTGGTCGACAATTATCAACAGGTGAACAATTTGCTTTGTTGGACGATAGAGTTTTATGCAAATCACATTATATGGAGAGCGTTGATTGTGGAGCAACATCAAGTGATGGTAATTAAAATTTATGAATGATTCTACAATTTTTATTGCTCATATTAAGCATTGTAATTTGCAGATGGTGGAGAAGGTGATTGTTATCACAAAAACAAAGCTAAAAGAGTAAGAACTACATTTACGGAGGAGCAGTTACAAGTTCTTCAAGCAAATTTTCAAATTGATAGCAATCCAGACGGACAAGATCTTGAAAGAATTGCAAACATGACGGGTCTTAGTAAACGTGTCACTCAGGTCTGGTTTCAAAATTCACGAGCACGACAAAAAAAACACATCCATACTGGTAATTTTTTGAAAGTAATATTTTAGAAGGGCAATTCCACGGATGAGTGGAATTAAGAGATTTTTAATCCATGTTCTTTAAAAACTTAAGAATTTTGAAAATCTCAGATGTCTAGATGTCTAAAAAGTGCAAAAATTCTGCTTGAAAATAAGAATCAAATTTTAATATTAAGAAAAAAATTACAGATTTATTCACACAAATTGAAAATTTGGTGTGAATATGATAGATAAAAATCACAGCTTCACATAAGGGAAATTCTTTTAAAGAGTAAATTTCTGAAAAATGAGCTAAATAGCTCATAACTGAATCTAGAGCCAATAACACTTAAGGTGCAAAAATGTTTTCTTTAAAATCCTTCCAGTATTTATGTTTTGAAAATGACAGAATTGATTCCAAACTTTAACATTTTTGAGAATTTTTAATTTGTACTTTTCTCGTGAATTAGGAAAACAAAAGCTAAATCATTGCTCTATTTCATTTTATGCTTCATAAATTTTCATTTTTCCACTTAATGAGTGACTTTTAAGATAATTATAGTATGGAGAATCATAAAAGAAGTCAGATGTACAAGAAAACAAAAATGAGTTGTCTAAAAAGCGAAAAATTTCCAATTTCAAAATCAGAATTCCACTTTTCCATGCTCACGAAAAACCAAATATTTCATTAATTAAAGATATATAGAAAAAGCAATAATATCCAGAAGATAGAACTCGGCGTTTTACTTAAGTTTGCTCAATCGTTGAAACGGCTAGATTGCTTGATTATGAATAAAATTGTTTCAAACGCAAATTTTTTGAAAAAATCCATCTGTGGAATTGCCCATTCACATTATAATCAAGATGGAGAGTTATCTTTTCTAAAAAAATGCCTTATTTTCGCAATTTTTTAAAATTAGAACAGTGTGCAACATATGAAGTCATACCAATTTTTAAGCACTTTACACCATTTGAAATTTATATAACTGATATTTATATTAAAGCTTATATCTATTTTTTTAAAAAATATTAAAGAAAATCGGTTAAAAAATTGATTCTGATAAATTGAAGATATTTACTAGCGAAGGAAATCATGATACATTTCAGGCCATATCTCCAGCACTGCTATACTTTGGGCCAAATTTTTTGTAGATCCTGAATTTTTAAATCATAAAAATAAGCCAATAAAATAATTTTTGGAAAACAAAACCATCTTTTTTGGAATATTCAAAAGTCATTAAGATTTTTAGTGTTTTTTTTATAAAATCGTTGACTTGAGATTTTGGACAAAACTTGAAATAGTGCTCTAACTTTATAAAACATCTCATATATATGTAAATAAAAAGTATTTAATAAATTAATTTTTAAAATTCATTCGCATAGTTCCACGTGAAAACGATCAATTCGGGAGGAATATCAATTTACAATTAACCTATTCTTTTCAACAAAGTAGTTCGCAACCTCATTCAATGCAGCCATTCAGCGGTGGATTATTGAACAATAATAGTTGTATATTAAAAAAGAATATTTCTTTAAAAACGGGGTTATGTCAAGGTAAATATACTTTTTAATAATGATAAAACTTAACAGTGTTCTAAATGCAAAGTTTTTTTTTGCTTTAATTTCTATTAGAATCATCAATTAGTGAGAATTCAGAAGATTCAACCACACAATAAATCCAAACCTAATTACAACATCCAATTATCTAACTTACAAGCATCTCCCATACTGAATTTACATGCAGTATTTATCACCCACCTATATGAATGTACAATATGTATGTACCCTGTTTTTTCGTTATAAGCTAGTAGCTTAGAAGAATAAAAAAGTGATTTTTTTGGCTTACTAGTAGCTCACTAGTAGTAGTTTAGTAAAAAAATTGAACTTCAATGAAAAGTTTGAATTTTTTAACTTAATTAAAGAAATGTTGCTATCTTTTTCGGCTTGTTTCACTAAAGTGGATTATCCTCGATTTCGGATTATCCACTTCAGTTTTTTGGAAATATCTTCAGACGCTTAAGGTTATTAAGAGATCTAATGTCTGATCTAGTTAGAGTACTTTGCTACTTAAATCAACATATATTTAGAATTTTTATATCTTCATTAGTTTGAGAATTATAGCAAAAATCGAAGTTAATCTACTAGATTTGGCTAGAAAATTGAATAATTAATACTTCTTAACGAAAAGAAAAAGTTTAAGGTATACAGAAATTTCAGGCATACTTTACTTTATTATGATCCAAAATTAGAAATACCACACCTCCCATAAAGTTTAAGATATTTACAAAAAACTGAAGTGGTAAGGCATTGAAAATGATACTTAGAAAGTTGAAAAAGATAAATTAAACTTTATTTTTGGTAGTAGCTTAGTAAAGATTCTAAAAAAATTTCCAGAGGTCGAAGTCGATGAAGCAAACTCACTTCACTTCACTAAAATTTCAATCGGTTTCAAGTCAGCTCGAGTGAACTCATTTTTTTCGTGTTCACTCGAGTCGACTTTTAACCGAGTTGATATTTTCGTGTTCACTTTAGTCGACTTGAAACCGACTTGATATTTTCGTGTTCACTTTAGTCGACTTGAAACCGACTTGATATTTTCGTGTTCACTTTAGTCGACTTGAAACCGACTTGATTTTTTCGTGTTCACTCGAGTCGACTTTTAACCGAGTTGATTTTTTCATGTTCACTTTAGTCGACTTGAAACCGACTTGAGTTCACTAAGGAAAAAAAATGTAATATACCAAACTGATTTCTGCTAGTGCTTGTGAAGTATATGTGATTACATACAAAATTGCAGAATTTGTCCTTTTTTTACTTTTCATAACCATATAGCAAACTAAACGAATTAATTTAAAATATTTTTCAAACTTCCAGTTTATTATAATTCAAGTTTTAAATTTTTTTCATTATTTATGTTTGTACCTTAAAGAAATTTAACTCTATAATTAAAAAAGAAGTGTTATATTTAATGGTGAAATTAAAAACAAGTGAGAAGAAAAATAGAATTTACGATTCATTCAGTGCACTTATCAATATATCAATGTTGTCAAACAAATAAATATGAGATTAAAATATATTCACCAAAATTGGAAATATGGTGTGAATTAAAATAATTTCATTCATAATTGTAGCAGTTCGTAATAAATAATTTCAAATCAGAAAAATAATCTATAGTGCAAAACATTTATAAAATATATGAAATCTAAAAAATATTTTAAATTAATTCGTTTAGTTTGCTTTATGGTTATGAAAAGTAAAAAAGGACAAATTATGCAATTTTGTTGCAATTTTGTATGTAATCACATATACTTCACAAGCAATAGCAGAAATCAGTTTGGTATATTACATTTTTTTTTTCCTTAGTGAACTCAAGTCGGTTTCAAGTCGACTAAAGTGAACATGAAAAAATCAACTCGGTTAAAAGTCGACTCGAGTGAACACGAAAAAATCAAGTCGGTTTCAAGTCGACTAAAGTGAACACGAAAAAATCAACTCGGTTAAAAGTCGACTAAAGTGAACACGAAAAAATCAACTCGGTTAAAAGTCGACTCGAGTGAACACGAAAAAAATGAGTTCACTCGAGCTGACTTGAAACCGATTGAAATTTTAGTGAAGTGAAGTGAAGTGAAACGACTTCACTTCACCAACTTCGACCTCTGAAAATTTCAAGTTCAAAAAAACTTTACTAAGCTAGTAGCTTATTAACGAGTAGTAGCTTATAACGCAAAAACAGGATATGTCTTCATACAACTGAGCGCCGATCAAACGCCGACTATAGCTCAGTTTATTGCTCAGTTGCTCACTAATATAATCAAAAAATTTAAACTATTTTGCTAATTATGGATTAATTAAATATTGTGAATGTATATAAAACTTAAAAATGCCTACCGCGCCGAAAACCAAAAACTTGAGGAGTAAAAGCGTGTAAAAAGCAAAAATTATTAAGAAAAAATTGTAAAAATCTTAGTGTGATTAATTGAGGGACTTCAGCCTTTTTTGACGCAGCGATCAGTATTAAATTTTAAGATATAAGTACTAATTATTACGTTTATTTGTTATCAAAATTAAACCGAGCTATTAAAACAAACCCGAGCCCTTTACGATGTTTGGTTAATGAGATCTCAGATCTCAATTTTTACATTGGCTTAGCAGCCAAACAGATCTTTTTTGAAAACAAGTTACGCGCTAAAACTGCATATTTTTGAAATGTTATATTTAAAAACCAAAAGTAAACTTTGATAGGTCTAAGTGAAAACGTTCACATTAAATCGAATATGCCATTAAAAGTATAATTAAAAATAACTTCATGTATTTAAATAAAAGATTGAAAATGAGACTATTAGATTTATTAAACTGTGAAAAATTATAGCTAACTTAATGTAAAATGTCTTTAATATTGCGAGTATTAAAAAAAAGAAAACAAAAGTAAGAGATCATTTTTTTATTTTTGAAACATGGATGAGAAAACAAATAAACTAAGAAACGAAGTAAAAGAAAAGCTGAAATGATTTATTTCATTCAAAGTGTAAAAAGAAGATGATTAATTTTGAGGCAAAGTAAATATAAAATAAAAATACCTATTTCTTACTTGAATAAAAATAATAATCATCTAGAAGAAATCATACTAGAGCCACTTCATTTCGGAAAACTTCAAAATTTGGCCGAAAATTTAAATTTTATTTCACCTTTGAAATAAGTTGCTCTCACGTTTTTTCATCTTTGAAAAATTAACTGCTATTATCTTTTTCAAAAAATATCGTGCATTTTTTCATTCAAATGTTTTTCACAACGATCATATTTCAAAGCGATGCTAGTCTGATAGAAATATGAAAATTTACAGATCGAATTTGTTATTAACCCATTTAATAGCAATTCTTTGGATGAGTGGAATTCGAAAAAATGACCTTTATTGGAAAAAATTAATGAAATTCGAAAAAATTACCTTTAATGGAAAGAATTAATAAAATTTCGGTTTTTTGTTCAAAAATTATAAAAAGTCATAAGCCAAAGAATTACCTTTTAAAGCCAGTGGCTTATAGGATTAAATTTTTTTTCCAAAATCTTGGTAAAAAATTGTCAACAAACAAGAAAAATTAGTGTCTGTGAAGTACGCGGGAAAGTTACCCAAAACCTTGTAAGGGGTTTATCCAGTTATAGGAAGTAGGACGAAAATATTTAAATGCGGGACGTAAATGGACGTAATATGGACGTAATCCAGGCCAAGTTTCATTTCTCCCTGACAACTTGCTCCCGCGTACTTCACAGACACAAAAATTAATAATTTTCATTGAAATCTTAAATTTTTCTAGTCCAAACTATCTTCTTAGCTACTGACTTAGTAACGAGGTTTTGCCTTTAGCTGAAACAATCGATCTAATCATTGTCAATTGACGATCTTTTATAATAAACCACGGGACATGCAATTGTGCATAGTGAAAGGAATCAATCGTAAGTAAGAACACAACCAATCAAGTCATTTTGGATTTAAACGCATCAATGTTTATAGCCTTAACAACATTTAAGATGAGAAAAGCTGCTTCTTGAACTCTTAAAATATATTATAAGATACATTTGTAATATCGAAATACAAAAATAAAAAAAAACGCATTTTTAAAAATAAATAAAGAACAAATAGTTTTATTTTTAATACCTTATAACGGACCCGATTAAAATAATCGAGCATATGCAAAATCGTGATAAGATGCTGTTTATAATGACATCCATCAAAATATAAATTTTTAGATTTCCTTTTAAAAACTAATAAAAAAGAGACTCTAATAAACCGATAATTAAATATGTTTAGGGTCATCAATCGTTTAAAAGTAACATATGTAAACTAAAAAATGACTTTGTTCATAAAAATTTATTAAAACAAAACAAAAGGACTTCATCAGATGGGAATAGATTAAGTTCGAGTATGAAGAAAGGTATCATAAATTATCTCGTTGCCTCTTTTTATTTTAAAAAAATCTTGATGAAAAAGTTGTAAAACTTATAGAAGATAAAAAAAATTCTATTATTGTTAATGAAACATTTTTATTGCTATTAAATTTTCTTTTTTTCCCTCCTGCTTATCATAAACTTTACGAACAACTAAAATAAAATATATACACATAAATACGATGTGCATATAAGAAATCATAAGAAGTAAATAAAATAACCACTATTCTGCATTCGGCTTATTTGGCCTACAACATCCTAAATAATTCAAAACAATTTTGATATTCGGAATCGGTTTTCTATCTAGGAATCTTTTTATTTACCTGATGTTAATAACATAGCTCTTCAAATGCAAAATTTAGGTTTCACAATTATTTTTATTACTTCAAGCCCAAAACCAAATGATTAGTACAATTTATAAACCAGTTGGAACTTAAAAGCAAGCAATTAATTGAAAATTATTTATTTTTCTGAAGTTAAAAAAAAAGATTAATATTAAAACTACACGTGTAGTTTTTTACTTCTAATGGAAAAATCATTAGAAGTAAAAAACTGCACCTGCAGTTTTTAAAACCTATATGCAAATGTATATAGAGATTAAAATCTCGAATTGTAGAAAATTAATCCTCGATTTAACTTCAAGCTTTTTGCTGGATTAACCAATTTTGATTATTTAAACGGTTTTGAATATGTTATTGATAAGGCTAATAACATAAATGGACAATTCTATCGATTGACGTTTTCAAAAAATTCGTCAATGAAACAATATTTATCATTATTAAGCTATCTAGTCGTTCTGAGCACCAAATATACTTATGTATGGCGATAAATTATATCCTTTTCTCTACATGCTTTAAATTACAAAATATTTGACTTTTTGTAAGCGTTGCACTTGTACAGAATGCAAAATTTTGAACTTTTATCCAAAGATTTTCCAC